GCAGCCGAGCTGTGGAAAATGTACGAACAACTGGAGAAGCGGCTGGATGCCCAGAACCCCTATCGCCAGGCGGTCTTCAGTGAGGTAACGCCCTTCTCCAGGAGGATAATGTCCTGCCCTCTCCCAGATAATTTCAAGACTCCCCAGATCAAGGCATACAATGGGACGACCGATCCCCAAGACCACCTCGCTCGTTTCGGGGCCAACGTGGTCATGTACGCGTATCCAGAAGAAATCAAGTGTCGGTGCTTCCTGGCGACACTGGAAGGGCAGGCTTGTGAGTGGTTTCACAAGTTACCCAAGGGGTCGATAGATAAGTGGGGCGACCTGGCCCACAAGTTCTTGGAGCACTTCGCGTCCAGCCGGAGACAAAAGCTCCCCTTCTCGCATTTGCTCAATGTGAAGATCCGGAAGGGGGAACAGCTCCGGGAGTTCATTAATAGGTGGGAGAAGGAGGCTAGGGATGTCCAAGGGGCGGACGACCAAGCCCTGATCGCCATGCTCCAAGCTGCACTCCCCCAAGGGGATGTGCGTAAGGAGCTGCGACGGAATCCTCTCTCGACCTATCAAGAGATGTTGGCCAGGGCGAAGTACCTGGCGCTGGAAGAGGAAGATGATGAGCCACCAGTCCGGAAGGAGAAGAAAAGCGGGCCACCGGTGGCAGAAGGAAAGAAGAGGAAGGAATATGGTAAGGGGCCGAACCCCACCGGGTATCATGCGAACAGGCATCCCGTTCACGCGGTACAGTCGTTGTCGGCCCCTCCTCATGGTCGGGAAAGCTATGGTGTGCAAGATGCACCCAAATACTGCGAGTACCACCGTAACAGCACCCATAACACGTCGGAGTGCGTTACGCTGAAGAAGGAGATGGATCAGCTGATCGCCAGAGGGCCACCTCCTCGGTCAGAGCGACCGTCCACAAGTAACCGGACCTGGAGGAGGCCGCCAGCCCCCACGGCAGCGATCACAGCAGGAGAGGGGCAAGAAGATGGACGGTGGCACCTAGGGCGAGATTGTGATGACCTAGATGAGGAGGAGAGGCAAGGTCGCCGACACCTGGGGTGTCGGTTCATCATGGGAGGAAACACTGGAGGAGATTCGGTATCCTCCCGGAAGAAGTGGAAGAACATGGTGTACCTGGCCGAGGTACAGAGGCCACCGCTGCCTAAGCGAAAGAAGAAGGAACCTCTGATCTTTACAGACGAGGATTATCCCCCAGTCCTCAGTCCTCACAGGGACGCTCTGGTGATAAGAGTGGAGATCAATAATGTGGTTGTTCACCGAACCTTGGTCGATACGGGCAGCTCGGTCAACGTAATGTACAGCAACACCTTTAAGGAGTTGGGATTATCCCGAAGCGACCAGAAGCCAATCCATACGCCGCTGTCAGGATTTACAGGGGATACTATCGAAGCAGAAGGAACTATCACGGTAAAGGCCGGGGTAGGAGATGGCACCCACCGACTCTGGGTCGACATGGAATTTATGGTAGTACAGCTCGACTGTGCACACCATCTGATTCTGGGACGACCAGGGTTGGAGGACCTGGAGTGCGTAATCTCCCCTGTCCACTTATGCCTAAAGTTCAACACTCCCACAGGGGTGGGAGTAGCAAAGGGGAACCAGAGCCTGTCACGGTCGTGCTATGTCAGGGCGACCAAAAGCCAAGCCCGAGTCGACAAGAATGTGAGCACGATCTGTGCGGCGATCCAGAAGGAGGAGGGGCGACCCCGAGCTGAGCCGGCGGAAGAGGTCGAGGAAGTTTCTTTGGACCCGGTTGAGCCCGAGCGGAAGGTGAAGGTAGGCAAAACCTTACCGCTTGAATTAAAGGAGCAATTATTGGAGGTCCTCCGAGCATTCAAGGTGCTATTTGCTTGGGGACCAGATGATATGCCAGGGGTCGACCCAAAAATCATCTGCCATAGATTGGCAGTGGATCCGACCCACAAGCCGGTCAAACAGAAGAAGCGTTTCCTTTTCGCAGAACGGAGAGAGTTTGTCACCAAGCAGGTGACCACCCTGAAGTCCATTGGGCACATCCGGGAAGTCCGCTACCCGGAATGGTTGGCGAATGTAGTCCTCGCACCCAAAGGGAATACCTGGCGAATGTGTGTCGATTACACTGATCTAAATAAAGCTTGCCCGATGGATCCTTTTCCTCTCCCCAACATTGATCAGTTGGTTGATGAGACGGCAGGATGTGAGCTGATGAGTTTCATGGACGCATTCAGTGGATACCATCAGATCAAGATGGCAGTGGCGGATGAAGAAAAGACCGCTTTCATCACCCCCAATGGGGTATACTGTTACAAGGTGATGCCTTTTGGTTTGAAGAATGCTGGGGCGACCTATGCACGGATGGTGAACAAGCTGTTCGCGCCAGTACTAGGGGGGTGCATGGAAGCATATGTGGACGACATGATTGTCAAGTCCAAACGGACGGAGTCTCATGCTGGCGACCTGGAGAGAGTATTCAAGATCATGAAGAAGTTCCAGCTTCGCCTTAACCCCAAGAAATGCACATTTGGGGTGCAGGGGGGTAAATTCCTAGGACA